TGTGAGATCGATTGTGAGATCGATTGTGAGATCGATAGTCAGATCAATTGTAAGATAGATCGAGTGAGATGGATTGTGAGATCGATCGAGGGAGATCGATCGAGCGAGATCGATGCTGAGATCGATAGTGAGATCGATAGTGAGACCGATCGAGTGAGACGTTGGTTACTCCCCCCCCCGAACCTCGTTATCACCTAAAGGGTGGTCGGATAGGTATGTATGTATGTATGAATGTGTGTGTGTCTGTCTGTTTGCATGCATGCATGCATGTATGTATGTATGTATGCATGTATGTATGAATGCATGTATGAATGTGTGTATGTGTGTATGTATGTATGGATGCATGTATGTATGTATGTACGTACGTGCGTGCGTATGTATGATGGATGGATGGATTATGTGTGCATGTGTGTATGTATGACTGCTTGTATGTATGAGTGTATGTATGCATGCGTGCATGCATGTATGTATGTGTCTATGTATGTATGTATGTATTTATGTATGAACGTATGTTTGTGTGTATGTATGTATGAATGATGGAATGAATGAATGTGTGTATGTATGTATGTGCATCGGAGGTGAAGGGGTGAGATCGAAGTGGAACGGAGAGCTCCCTTACCGGGAAATCGATTTCGCTTTCGTGTTCGTGCGTGCCGTACGGGCGAGGCGAAGCTGCGTGGGCGGGCGAGAGAAAGTCTTCTGTGGCTGAGGCGCAGCCGGACCAAATGATTCCCTTCCGGGCGGCCGGTGGCCCGCGGTGTCCCGCCGGTGTCCCGCTGGTGTCCCGTGTGGCTGAGGCGCGTCCGGACCAAATGACTCCCTTCCGGGCGGCCGGTGGCCCGCGGTGTCCCGCCGGTGTCCCGCGGTGTCCCGCGGTGTCCCGCGGTGTCCCGCGGTGTCCCGCGGTGTCGCCCCGCTGGCGGTGCTGGGGCAGCCCCGTGTACTGCAGCGTCGCCATCGGTCGCCATCGGGTGCCTGGCCATTTTGGCCTGCCATCTTGGCCTCCTCTCGCGCCTTCCTGCGCTTGTAGGCCATGGTGGCGGTACTGGGGTCGCCCCGTGTGCTGCTATGCCGCCGCCTGCGCCTTATTTTTTGATGTAGGGACCAGCTGCCCTCGGCCAGGCGCCTGCTGCTGCATGCACGTCAAACCCGCCCTTGGCTTGCCATCCAGGCCTTGCCTCGCGTCTTCTCGCGCTAGTTGGCCTGGGTGGCGGTACTGGGGTCGCCCCGTGTGCTGCTGTGCTGTTGCTGGTGCTTCACTTTGGGTCGCGGGTCAGACCCGCCCTTTCACCCAGAAGAGGTGCGCGCTACATACTGGCAATGAGGCAGCCACAAGGACGCTGTTCCCTAGGTGGTTGAGCCGTGGTGATGTGGTGCACGAGACCGCCAGTAGTCGTAGTAGAAGGTAGTAGTAGTAGTAGTAGTAGTAGTAGTAGTAGTAGTAGTAGTAGTAGTAGTAGTAGTAGTAGTAGTAGTAGTAGTAGTAGTAGTAGTAGTAGTAGTAGTCGTAGTAGTAGTAGTAGTAGTAGTAGTAGTAGTAGTAGTAGTAGTAGTAGTAGTAGTAGTAGTAGTAGTAGTAGTAGTAGTAGTAGTAGTAGTAGTAGTAGTAGTAGTAGTAGTAGTAGTAGTCGTAGTAGTAGTTAGTGGTAGTAGTAGGTCGTAGTTAGTCGTAGTAGTGGTAGTAGTCGTAGTAGTCGTAGTAGTAGAGTATTAGTAGTAGTAGTTAGTAGTAGTAGTAGTAGTAGTAGTTAGTAGTAGTAGTAGTAGTGGTAGTGGTGTGGGGTGGTGGTGGTGGTTTTTTTTTTTTTTTTTTTCTTTTTTTTTTTCTTGTGGTGGCGGTGGTGTGGTGGCGCGGGTGGTTGGTGGTGGTGATGGCGGTTGGTGGTTGGTTAGTCGTTAGTAGTAGTAGTAGCTGTTTGTAGCTGTAGTAGCTGTAGTAGGTTTTAGTAGGTGTAGTTAGTGGTAGTAATAGTAGGTAGTTTAGTGTTGTTGTTGTTGTTGTAGTATTTTCTTCGTAGTAGTAGTAGTTAGTAGTAGTAGTAGTAGTAGTAGCTGTAGTAGTAGTAAGCTGTAGTAGTTAGTAGTAGAGTTTAGCTGTAGTAGTAGTAGTAGTAGTAGTAGTAGCTGTAGTAGCTGTAGTAGTGGTTAGTAGTTAGTAGTAGTAGTAGTAGTAGAGTAGTAGTAGTAATAGTAGTAGTAGTAGTAGTAGTAGTAATAGAGTAGTAGTAGTAATATAGTAGATCGTCGGCAATATTGGTAGTAGTCAGTGTAGTAATAGTAGTAGTTTACTAGTTCTAGTATAGACTAGTACTAGTTACTAATAGTACTAGTAGTAGTAGTGTAGTAGTAGTAGTAGTAGTAATAGTACTCCCTTAACTCTCTATAAGTCGTAGTAGTAGTAGTAGTACTGGTAGTGGTAGTGGTAGTGGTAGTGGTAGTGGTAGTAGTAGTAGTAGTAGTAGTAGTAGTAGTAGTAGTAGTAGTAGTAGTAGTGGTAGTAGTAGTAGTAGTAGTTGTAGCTGTAGATGTAGTAGTAGGAGAAGGGATTCCTGAATATCCCTTAGGGCTTCCAGAGGATTTCCCAGGGATTCGTCAGGATTCCTTGAGAATTTCCTAGTTATTCACTAGTGATTCCCAAAGGATTCCTTAAGGTTTCCTCAGAATTCTTCGAGTATTCCGATGGGCATCCTAACGATCATCTAAAGATTCCTTCGGGAACCCCAAGCATTCCCAGAAGATTCCTGAGGATTCCCTAGGACCCTAGGGATTCCTAAGGATTCTGAAGAACGCCCAAGGGATTTTTAATAATTCCTTGGGGATTCCCTCGGGATTCCGAAGGATTTCCTAAGGATTCCTAGGGGATTCTCCAAATATTCCTTACGTATTGCTCAGCGTTTGCCGGGGCCGGGAGAGGCGTTGGCACACCAGGGCGCGCCGCCGCCGCACTGCAAGGGCGCGCACCTGCCGGGGCCGGGAGAGTCGTTGGCACACGAGGCGCGCGAACGTTTGCACCATTTGAAGCGACCCGGGGCCGGGAGAGTCGGTGGCACACCGAGAGCGCGAACGCTTTCACCCGGGGCCGGGTGAGAGGGGGCACGGTGTGCGTACGACCGTCCCGGCCCCGGCCCGGGGCCGGGACGGTGGTTGCAACGTTGTTGTTGTTGTTGTTGTTGTTGTTGTTGTTGTTGTTGTTGTTGTTGTTGTTGTTGTTGTTGTTTATTGTCGTCGTCCCACCCGCGACCCACCCGCGATCCACCCCGCGACCCACCCTGCGACCCACCCCGCGACCAACGCACGACCCACCCCGCGACTCACCCGCGATCCACCCGCGACCCACCCCGCGACCCCCCCGCGATCCACCCCGCGACCCACCCCCAAGGGAGGAATTGAGGTTTACTAAACTACCCTGGGCGTTTACTAAACAGCCCTGCCCTGTTCGATTCTTTCCTTGCGTGCGTTTACTAAGCGGTTTCGCCTGTCGGGGTGATTATTATGGGGTGGATTTTCTGCCCTCTGCACCCGTGACCGACCCGCGACCCAATAGCGACCCACCCGCGACCCATTTGCGACCTACCCACATTGGTTTGACGAAAAAATCGGCGCCTGCGGCGGGCACGTTTTATACGTTGTCAAACTTTGGCGCCTGCGGCGGGCATCTCCAGAGTCTCGCACACTGCCGACGTCCCCACCGCCCCCTCACTCTTATCTGCATCTACGGGGTGCTATGTACATACATGCATACACATACCTATACGACCACCCTTCGGGTGATAAGGAGGTCGGGGGGGGAACTAACGTCTCATTCGATCGGTCTCACTATCGATCTCGGTATCGATATCACTATCGGTCTCGCTCGATCGATCCCACTCGATCGATCTCACAATCGATCTCACTCGATCTTTCCCATTCGATCGATCTCACAATTGATATCACAATCGATATCACAATCGATCACACAATCGATCTCACATTCGGTCTCAATATCGATTTCATTATCGATATTCCAATCGCTCTCACAATCAACGTCATCATCATCATCATCACCATCATCATATCATCTTCATCATCAACATCATCAACATCAACATCATCACCAACATCGTCATCATCATGAGGACACCGTCATCATCATCATAAACATCATCATCAACGTCAGCATCATCATCGGGACAACAGCATCACCACCATCATCATTTCATCATCAACAACATCGTTATCATCGGGACCTCGATCCAAAGGTCTCCTGCAAACGCCATGCCGGTCATGTCGTCCCAAAACCGAATGACACCATCCGGTGCGCCAGCGAGCAAGCGTTCCAAGAGAGGATGAATCCGTGAGAGGACATGAAGAACCACCCCAGAGGAGAACAAGATCCAAGGTATCACCAAGGCGATCGTGGCAATCACCCAGTAGTTGCGGAGTGCAACCGCCAAGATGACGACGACCCCTGCTCCGATCCAGCGCTTGTCGAGCTCCAAGCGATCGCAGGTGACGAACACGATAATCACCGCGATGAGAGCCAAGAGGAAGATTGCGGGGACTGCTGATTCCAAAATCGGCCCGGCGCAGACGGCAGAAACCTGCAGCATGAAACCACAGATCGTCCGGAGGCAAGCTGCGTAGAAGTGAGTGAAGGGCGGAGGAGCCTGAGAGCCCTGCTGCTCGCTGTGAGCTCCGCCCGGAGGACCTTGCGCTTGAGGCTCCGGAGTGACAGCGCCGGGCGCAGCCGCCATTGCGAACCAGGGAGGCTGAGCAGAGGTCTCGGAAGGTCTCGGGAGGATGGGCGGAGAATAAGAGATTGAGTTCGAAGCTATGATTGTCGTTGGGTTTGTCTTGATCCGAGATACAACGGCCTCTATCTCGCAGTTCTGCCGGTGTTCTTTGGCTTGTCTGTCGAGGAAGCCACGTACACACGGGCGACTCTGACGTGCTCTGGGGCCCCTTTCATCATCTACGACATTTGCGTTGCGTATTTCGTTTTTGCACACGCCGAGAGGGCCATGGTCAACCTGAGGGTGCTCAAGACCAACAGGGCCGGGAGCATCATGCGCCCCAGTGGGTCTAAGGCCCTAGGCAACTCAGCCTTTGTCTCGCAAGAGATTGCGCGTTCTCTTGGCTTCCTAGCAGGACCAGCTGCAGCAGCCGGAGAGGACAAGGTGGACGAGGTGAGCGCGCAGCTGGCGAAGGCTAGCGAACACAACTCGCTCACAACTGGTGCGAGTTTTATTCAGAGGATGCGTTCGGGGCGGGTTGGTACGTCGCTGATGCTATTGACGCTCTGCTACGCAACGTCGGCGAGCGGGAACAACTGCGTTTACTCGATAGAGAAGGAAAGCTCCAGATCCGCGGCAGATCAGAAGGGCTTTGAGTCCACAGCGCGCTCGTGTTTCAAGAAGTGTCGTTTGCAGGCTGCTTCCAACGGAGTTTCGTCATCCTCACCACGGATTGGCGTTATGTATTATTTAAAGGAATCAAAAGTGGTTCCAGCTTCCCTTGGCTTAGCGATGCCCGCAAGCAAGCGCAGGGCGCTTCAGGGAGCGATAAAGCACGGGGTCGGTCGCGGCTCGAATGGGCGCGGGAACATTGCTGAACAAGTTGCTGCACAAGCAGTCCGTACCGTAGCATTTGGGTGGAAGCAGGCAGCCCTTCGCATGACAATGGGGAACCCCACGAGATCTCGGAGGTCGCGACTTGGTCGTTCGGACTCGCGCTGCTCGTTTCGATCACGGCATCCGTCGCCAGTTCAATGGCTCTGAAGAGCTCCTTCAAGTATGAGAACACGATCGACCACCTCTCGACGGAGTTTACGGAGAAGTCTGCGAGAGAAGACGAGTTTCTTAACCTTCACGGTCTGGTGCGTCTTCACTTGCCTCAGGAGAAGCTAAAAGCAGGCCGCTTATACGTGATCAGCCCCAGTCAGGCAGATCTGGCAGGAGTCGAACAAGACTTGATGCAGCTGCGCATCAAGATCTTGAAGAATGTCGACTTCGGTGATCGCTCCTTTGGAGATGGTGACGGAGACAATCCTGGTGGCGGAGGCCCCCCTGCTGGTGAGCAGCGCGGCGATCAAGCCGCAGAGGACTACTTCTCTGGTCCCCACAGCCCATTCGATCCAGGGTTCCCTGGCGGTGAAGACCCTGCGAGCGAGGCAGCAGCAGGCGCCGCCGCGCATGGACCCGAGAAGTTCGCTGCGAAGGTCAGGTTCTTCGACGAGCGCGCAAGGGATGAGAGGGAGATGCGCGCTGCCCAGGAGACGAGGTCAGAGCCAGGCAGGGATGCCGACAAGAAGGACGCAAAGGCGGGGGACAAGGCAGCTCCTTCTGGCGGCGGCGATGGAAGCGCTGATCCTGCTGGAGGAGGCGACGACGCCTCGGACACCGAGAGCAGCGAGGATGAAGAAGGAGAAGGCGACCAGAAGAAGAAGAAAACCAAGAAGGTCGAGACCGACCCCATAGATGCTCCGATGTTGAAGTACCCGAAAGTCTACTACAAGAATGTATCTGGCCGCTTCAGTGACCATCTGGTTGTTCAGATACTGGCCAGTGATCGAACGGTTTTCCAGATGGACACCAATCGCTTCAAGCTCACGAGCGTGTCAGAGTACCTCTTCTCGGCCATCGCAGGGTTCGCCCTATAGGAATGATCGCCAGCGACGACTGGCACGAGAGCCTCTCAGAAGTCTTCGCGAACCACAGGAGCCAGACGACGCCTCCAGCTCGCGTCAATCGGCTGACTCTCCTCCTGGAGCCGGCAGACTGGATGCGCGAGATTCCATATCAGATGTCATCTGCGGACATCGCACGCACTGGCGCCCAGTGAGAGATCGCCTCCTGGACGGACCTCGAGTTCCATGGTGGCGGCACAGGTAGGGGGAAGCGCAGGCGGAGCTGGGAACTACGATGCCGCGTATCCAAAAGATTTTTTAATATAAAAGAAAGAAAAAATCGTCATCATCGGGACACAGTCATCGTCATCATCATCAGCATCATCATCAGAATCATCATCATGATCGGGACACCATAATGATCACCATCATCTCATCATCAACATTATCATCAACATCGTCATCATCCTCGGGACACCATCATCATCATGATCGTCGCATCATCATCATCGACATCGTCACCAACAACATCATCATCATTGGGGCACCATCATCATCATGAACAACATCATCATCAACCTCGCCATTAGCATTGTTATCATCATCGGGACACCATCATCATCACCATCATCATCATCAACATCATCATCATCAGCATCATTATCGCTGGGACACCATTTCCATCAACATCATCATCACCAACATCATCGGAATCATCATCATCGGGACACCAGCATCGCCATCATCCTCAACATAAGCATCATGAGCATCATCATCCTCATCATCGGGACACTATCATCATCATCGACACCATCATCAACATCATCATCTTCATCGGGACACCATCATCATCATCATCATCATCATCTCATCATCATCAGCGTCATCATCATCATCATCAGCATCATCATATCATCATCATCACACTCGCGGGACACCGCGGGCAATGAGCGCAAGTGAACGTGAGGAGGCCGAGGTGGTAAGCCAGCTGGCACGCCAAAGTGGCTGGGCGCACAGGTAGTCATGCGCCGAGCCGAGGCAAACGCCACAGGCGCAGCCACACGAGGGGGGAGCCGCTGTGGGCACCGCACTACAGAGCGTGGCAAGTTAGACAACTTGGCATCGGCTCACGTGGCCTGCCGAGGCCCTGAAACCTGCTAGGCATTATCATTCAGGCCTGCTGGCCTGCTCCCTGCGCAATGGCAGTAAAGACCTGTGACGGCAGCGCCCGCGCCTCCCCGCCGAGGTCGCCGCTGCCCCCCGCCTGCCCTG